TAATCAAGTCTTCCTGGTTGTCTTTAAAAATAGCTGAAACAGAATTATATGTACTCATGGAGATTACCTGAAAAATATATTGTTTAGTATCTTTTCTTAAAAGCCAAGTTTATGACAAGAAATTGTTTGCGTACCTGTATATTCAATTCATGCACAAACATAGATATATTTATTTACATACATAAATATATGTATTTATATATGTATGGATGCATGGATGTATGTATAAATACAATACTTATAAACTATCTTCTGGAATTTGGGTAAACTGGATGGCTAAGGGATTTAGGCCTGGACCTAACTGGATAGCTTAAGTTATCTGAAATCATATCTCCAGCCCATGTTTCCAAGCTTGGATGCTGTTTACATTGTTTCACACCTTCCTGGTTATTTAGCCAAAGGAAAAGAGAAGGCTAGCTTGGGAAAGAATGGACGGAAATATACAAATCAGTCCACGATTTCCGTTTGGAATTACTAATACCAGAATTTCACTGCACTCAACAAACCCTATGTTGACACCTGAATTTGGATCAATTGTGTTTAGTAAAACAGCATGTGCCCAACCGTAAGTGCTTAGTGAGGAAGGCAAAAGAGCGGCCATGGTTCTTAAAAAAACAAGTAAACAAAAGTGAAGAGGAAGGATTTTAGAAAGTACAGGCAGATCTATAAACGGCCAGAATATGCAACTTAGTATCATTTAGTCCACACAGGAAGAAACTCAACTCTTTCCTTGATTTACAAATAACAAAATGAATTCAGAATCTGATGACAGATAGGAAAAGCCTAAACTTCAAAGAAATTTAACGAGTTAAAGTAGTAACCTCTGTGGACAGGAAACGTCGTATTTATCATTTTTGCTTATCTGATGAAAATGCCACAGTCACTTTTAGCTAGGACATGGCCAGTAGAGCTGCATATTTAAAAGGCGTGTGGGCTTTCTCAAAGTCAAAATTGGTATTTCCCTTTTTCTCTAGTTCAACATCTTGTCGTTAATTCCTTATACTGAGCTTCTCCTCCATAGACATGTTTGAAGATGCCCTGGGCAAGGAGCTGACCCTTCCAGACCTTCTAATAGAAGGTCTTGACTGGAAGAAGACTGGCAGCAATCCAGCATTTCTATGTTTCATTTTCTGAGTGAGTGTAGATAAGGGGAGCTATCAGGCTGGGCACTAGGCTACAGCAGCAGATCTGATTGAAGCAGAGATTTCAGTAAATTAAGATTTTGTTATCACTTAGAACAGGCTGTCCTCCTTTCAGGGCATGTGGGCAAAGGCACAGTTGATTGAAAGGGCTTCTTGTTCCAGTAATACTGAATATTTATATTTCTGAACTGAAAAGACAACCTAAAGATAAGACTTGAACAGTCTTGCTAGATCCAGCTACATGCCGAGCAGGCAGAGTAAGTGATCATCTATCACTGTAGTATAGGTTCTATACTACAGTGATGTCAAGAGCTTGAGAATTCTCCAGGCCCCCCACAGGCCAGCAAATACCTAAAATTGCCCATTTAGGGTTCTCTTTCCAGTAAATTAAAGCTGTAAAGTATAGAGTCTCTTTTCACCCTCCAACTGGAATAAAGTTTAAATTATTCACAGACAATTTCTCATTAAAGTATGTTTCACATTTTTCCTGAGGACAGGTTTTTAAGAGTTCAGGGCTCTCCTTTAAAAATGTTTTTGATTGCTCCTTTTGTTATCCATGAAAGCCCCTATCACACATCATTGTAAAGTGCATGTTAACTTACCTGTTTATCACATTAGACTATAAGCTCTGCAAAGTATGGACCTTGTTTATCTTCACAATAGGTTTATCTCAGAGCCTAGCACATTGTCTGGCCCTTAATAAAACCTCAGTATTTCTTGTGTAGAATTGAATTTCATTAGACTGAATTGTGAAAGAGGTTGTTTCTTGAAGATATTCTTTTTTTTCCTTTAGTGAAGGATGAAAAAAAAAAAAACAGAGCACCATTACTAAAGACAAACTTCACGTCCTAAAAGTCATTAAAAGGCTGACTGACTTTGACCTTACTTAATGATCCATCTAGTTTTCTAATAAGATAATAGATTCAGTGACTTTTCCAAAGCCAAACTGATACTAATTGGCTGAATCAGAATGAGGAGCCAGATCTTCACACCAATAGTCAGACATTTCTTCCACCACAGTTGGTCCTTCTATTTTAAGGCATTGCAGTTGGAAGAATGTGGAAGCACTTGTCAGGGAGGGTATTCAGTGTCAGACTTTGGCACACACACCCAATCTGATAAACATAGGCTTGTTCATCATCTACTTTTACGACGGTTTCACCAACAAATGCTTTCTAAACTGTAAATGTCCTCTGTTACTTGAACAATAGTTCCTTTGGCTGAAAAGAAGGTTGCTGGGTTTTCCTATCTCAAAACCGGTGTCTGAAACAAGGAGCCTTTCTTGAGAAATATTCTTAGGGGATTATGACATCTCTGCAACTGTTTAGGTGGCAGGCCTCTTATTTCCTGACTTTCTCTCTAACTTTCTGTCTCCTTGTTGTTGGCATTGACCTGGCATGGTGGGTAGCCATCTGTTGACAATCTCATTTACGTGGGTCAATTTTGCTTAATTTACTACCTTTAACTTAGTTGAAATGTACTTAATAGTGCCATACCTGATTCTCTGTAAAGAACAATGTTGAATTCATAAATAAATATATTGGAGAGCTTCAGCAAGTTTTAAATTCTAGTAAGCAAGCAATGTGCTATCAACCATGGCAATTTGTCATTATAGATTGGCAGATAAGAACAGTTGAAAAATATAAAATGGATTTTTAAAATCCTGTTTGTTAGAAGCAAACATATCTGCAAATCAAAAGTAAAACTGTGCATATGCATTGCTAAAGTTGTTTCTCACAGGAGAACAGGTTAACAATTCTGATTCCGCTATACACATATACTGGAAGTAGACATTTAAGTAAATGGATAGCAGATGGTAGAAGCTGCATTTCTTCTGCTGAAGTGACAGTTTACAGATGGGCAGCAGCAGGAGGCTAAAATAATCCACGAGGAGTGAATTAGAGTTGGAGATATCAGTATGAACTCATGTTTAGCTTAATATAGATACATATGGCTACATATAGAAAAGTTTGTAGATATGTGTATACACATGCTTTAGGATACTCACATATATTTCCTTGTTCTGTAAGCTGAGAGAGCCTAAATAAAACAACTCTCCAGTAGGAACAAGCACAGAGCACCTGGTTCTTCATTTCTGTAATAATACCTTTATCCAAGAAAAACAAAACACTAAAACACAAGGCTTCTTGGAGAAATCTCAGAGATGACTGATTCTACGATTGGGAGATGAAATATACAGATCATCCTGAAAGATTGTGTAGTACAAAAAGAAGGTGTTTAAATAGCAACAAAAACATCCACACACAAAACAACAACAATAAACCTCATAAAACAAACCTGTCACATTGACAGGAATGTGACAAAGGGGCACCAACATCAATTGACAGAGTTTACAATGGCCAAAAGTAGGACTATATGAGTAACAAAATTCATGAAATAGCATTGAATTCTAAACCCAAATATGAAATAAGTGATCTATATTAATTCATGATCTATATTGATATAAATCTACGACTGAATGGTGAAGAGACAAATCTCCCATACAGAAGAGTTCAACATAAATCATATAGATACTCCACTCTAAAAGAGGGGCATTATAACTTCCCACTCTTTAAGCGTGTGCTACACAGACTGGCTTGAGGAAGGAGGAAAATGAGAAACTTTACAGAGGAGAAACATAAGAAACACTACCTTAGCCAGGTTATCAAAGTCGAGATCACGTTGGTAGCACAGACTCTTGATACGTGATGAAAATGGTACTTTATCTCTGTGTCTTTCTTCCAAAAACATCTAACTCATGATTAGTTAGGAAAACATGAGACAAATTTCCATAAAGGAACATCCTACAAAATTCCTGACCTGTATTCCTGAAGCCGTCAACCATATCGAAATCAAGGAAAGTAAAGAACTCTTTGCCAATAGGAGCCTCAGGAGATATGGAGATTAAATGTAGTGCTTAATTCACGCCATTGGGAATAAGATCTTGGAAGAGCAAAAGGACATTAGGTAACAACCAAGAAAATCGAATAAAGTATAGATTTAGTTAATAATCATGTATTAATATTGGTTCATTAATTGTAACTAACGTTCCAATGTAAAATGTTCATAACAGAGAAAACTGGGTGTGTGATAAATGGAAGTACCTGGGAATAGTATTGTCTCAATGTTTCTGTAAATTTAAAACTCTTCTTTAAAAAGTGTATTTTACAAAGCAAATACAGCCTTCATTTCCATTTAATGTGAGCATGTTTGTGTTGACATTTATGCTTTGTTTCTCAAGTCTCCCCATCTTTATTGCTTATTAAGATTGACTCTGTGGTTGTTGCCTTCAAGTATTTGAAAGTCTATCACGTGAAAGGGAAATAAACGTTTTCTGCCTTAGAGGGCAGCACCAGGACCATACAAAAGCAACAACAAGGCAGATGGACCAGCTCCCTAAGATGGAAAAGGCTGACTCACAGAGCAGTGAACTTTCTGTCCATGTAGGCGGAGACTGACACCATCCATCAAGTATGCTTTAAGGAAGATTTTTTTTTTTCATTGGGTGGTCAGTTGGAATGGAAAACCTCAAGGAATCTTCCAACTCTTTTGTAAATATCTGTGGAAAGTTAACCAATTCTCTGTGTAGTTGCCCAATTCTCTGTGTAGTTAATGTGAATCTGTACTCACAGCCAAGACTTTCAGCAGAGAATGTCTGTCTATTGACCACAATTCTAAGTTTAGCTGATTGCTCAAAACCTACCAGCTGTACTAGTCATCCAGTAAAGGGAAGTAAATTAGCCTACTAAGCTATGCCTTTTTGAGCTATGCCACTTGATAGGTGGTATGTTCCCTCCTTGAAGTCTTAAGGAGTTATATGATCCAATTCAGGGCTTTAGTAATGTGATGATTATCTTATGACATCAATTCTAGAGCCTTGCAAATCTAATGCCACAATCCCAAGGCTTGGCTCAAACACTCAACAGTTAGGATGGGGGTGACTGCTGGTGAAGTGAGACTGCAAATCGGAGTGAGTGAGGTTAGACGGGTGGGTGCATGTGCGGAAAGAAAGTTTTATATTTCAATCTCATTTTCTGAGCCCGGCTTTCCCTTTTAAAGATAGAAGCTGGAAAATTCTACTGACGAAAGGGTAAAGCAATACCTTTTCGGTGTCACAGTTTCCTTTCTAAAGGGAACTCATATATTTGGGCCTCTTCCCAGATACAACACTAAAATCTCTTGGTTTTTCCCATACCACGCTCCACTTCGTTAAAAGGGACATGAAAAGGTTTTCTTGATCAACCAGCGTTTATCAAATGTTTTTGGTTCACCACACACCTAGAAAAGAGGAACTTTGCTGATTTCTCTCACCTGACTGCAACCTATTACACAGATCTTGGAAGACTAATATCTCAGCCTGTCTGGTAGGAAGATCATTTCTTTAACAAACCAAAATTCTTATTTTGTATTATAAAAATATTTATATTCATCTTAGGAGCTTGAACCTTACAAAATGGCCATTTATAGTCAGTTAACAGCAACTTCTTATGGTTCATTGTAACAGAAAATATGAATCTCTAGAAAAGCATGAAGAAAAAGGTAAAAAAAAAAAGTCTCATCTCTATAGCTAAGCGATCATATATTTTACATTTTGCTCTATGTTCCATCAATACGTTGAGTTTCCCCTACTCTTACACACATACATGTACTTGACATTATTTAAATCATGTCACAATACATGATTTTTGTGACCTGCCTCTTTTTGTTAATATTTAATAAGAACCTTTTTCCATGTCTTTCAGTATTCTATAATACAAGCTTCAATGACTGTTATATCCAGTCATATGGATAAGCAAGTTAATTTAATTTAAGCAACTTCCTATGATCAAATATTTGTCAGTATTTTGCTATTTAAGCTTACGCTGCTATTAACATAAGGGAAACTTCTGCATACGTTATACTCCACGTATTTCTGGGTAAAAGGACATGCACAGGTTTAGACTTTCTTTACTTCTTTCAGGCTAGATCTCACGCTGTTACCTGGGCTGGAGTGTAGTGGTGCGATTATAACTTCCAACAGCTACAACTGGCTGGGCTCAAGTGATCCTCTTGCCTCAGCCTCCTGAGTAGCTGGGAGGGACCACAGGCACCCACCACCATGCCTGGGTAAATTTTTTTTTTTATTTGTAGAGACAAAGAGTTATGTTTGGCATTTATTGTAACCTTTCCACTAGAATTTGAGGGATTAAAACACCTCAGCAGCCTGCTTAGTGCTTTGCCTTTCCTCTCAAAAATCCCAGTCCATTGCAGACATAGATTGTGGCGGCTGCAAGCAATGACCTGAGTCTTCATTCTAAAAGGAGTTCTGTGTTTGAAATTATACATCTTCAGCCCCTAATTAAATTTCACATCTAACAATGAAGTCAGGCAGAGGACATACCAAGTGAGTGACAGTCCAATCCTTATTAGAGGCAAATTCATTACCCCTTGTCAGCAGCTACCCATGTTAGAGAGATCCTTGCTAAATTAGAACACATGCTAGGAAGTCCACGGCTTCTAACGGAACGGGGCAGTAGTTAAAATTAGACAAAGATATAGCTTATTTAAATGCTGAGGAAATAAGCAGTTCTTAAAGACAAAGAAGAAAAAGAAAAACTTACTTACCTAAAACATCTGGTTTTTTCCACTCCAGGGACCAGCACTTGGCTAATGTGTAAAGAACATAAAAACAGTCTTCATTTCAACAAAAGGATACATTTTGAAAAAATTACTAAAACTTTCTAATGATAAAAAAGGCTCATTTATGAAATAATGATTTTTCCAGAGTGTTCAGGCAAACTGATCACTCCCGGTTTCAAACAGTCACATTATACATAGTTATATTATTAATACTAATTATAGAAATTTAGAATTAGTTTTGCCCATTTGCCTCTATTACTAGCCCATGAGTTTTATTGCTAACTAATACTCATTAATATTATATAGGGAATGGATAATATGATTTCAGGGCTTCTGAATAAGCCTCTTAATGCCCAAAATACTCTTACACAATTAGAAATTGATTTTTCAATTTAAAATTGTAATACCTCTGGATAGCAATAGATCGTTTCATTTATAATTCAAAGTGAATGAGTTATAAAACCCTTTTCTGAGCGAGGAGGACACGAAGTGGAGAAACTGGTACCGTTGGGCAAAGTATGAAAAAAGAAAAAAGTTGAGGCATAGAGTGCTGAAGACAAAATTTTCTGACTACACGTTATTGTTCTTTTAATATTTATTTTTGTTGTTTTATTGAGGGTCACTTTTAGATGCAACTGATGTTCTGAGTGATTTAAAGCTGTTCTTTATTTTTAAAAGCCCTAGCTTAGTCAATATGATATGAAGGTCATTCATTAAGCTCTGCCAAATTCTTTTACTTTTGTAAAAAGTTCAAATAAAACTGTTTTGTTAAAATAGCGGAAGTAAAAGCAAGGAGGAAGAAAGGATGGAACACAGGGTGTGGTTGGGATCCAAATGTTCCTGGCACTAGTGGAGTGAACTTCTTTGAAACCAAGTATTTAGGCTTGCCAGTCGGTCTAAATACAGTCACATTCTCTCCTTCACTCGCGACTAAATATCATTCATTCTTTGAGTCATTCACTTAATGAATATATGGCGGGCATCAAATCTATGTGTCAAGTTGCCAAATCCTACTGTGGGCTCTTGGGCTACAGCAGTGAACCAATTAGATAAAACCTCCCTGGCTTCATGCAATTTACATTAGAGTTGGATGTCCCTTGGAAAAATAGGATTAAACCCCAGATGGCCATAATGTGGCAACAACGGAAGAGGTTTTCAGTTTAATCCTACAGCAATCTGAATTTAATAAATCTAGTAAAATCCTAACTAGCAAAGCAAACGCCAGTCTGTCCCAGAATTATTCTTCAATGTGGGAGAAATGTATTCCTATTAAAGCCCTCTCTCAAAAAAAGGCTCCAGTATTTAAGTGGAAAATATGAACTATCACAAAATTTAGCCAAAATTAGCATCTTGTAGTCTGAAAACTTTTCAGCCAAGCAAACTGCATAATCCAAATGCAACCATTTTTTTTGCATTCCTTCCTAAAAATCTAACATACATGCTGCCAATGTGTATGCTGCCAACATCATCAATGCACTTTGCTGTAAGAGATTAAAGGTTGGCTGCAAATAATTTTCAATGAATAACTTTAATTAGCCGCTAAAGTTGGCATATTTCCTGCAATCTGAAATTAGATCACAGAGTTGAGTCGACATGAAAAAGCCCTATTAACTCTCTAGGCTTCCAATTCCTATTTGCTGGGGGAAATTACAGTTTTGAACTTTATCGGCCACTAATCTGAAGAAGTCTGTAGTCAGCCATAATAAAAAGATATGTGGAACTGGAACTTCCAGTTTGCTTCTGTTCCACTGAAGGGACTTTCTGAAATCAACCCACAAAAGCAATATACCTGGGAGATATTTCAGTGGATTTTTAAGGATAAAAGAAAAAAAAAACTATTTTGAAATGTTAAAACTACAAAACTTTAAAATTGTTCATATAATCCTTGCTAACAAAAAGAACTGATTTGATCTAATGCCATCCACTGATAGATGCATGAATATTTCTTAGCCCGTTTTGAATCCTTTCTACGAGAGGTTTATCTCTTCATGTGCCCCTGTTGTGGAGTCTGGGAAATAGTGCACATGCTTCTATTAGGTAAGTGGCCGGGAAGGGCTGCTTAATACCATCCAATGCCATGGTGCCGCAGCCCAAGGCTGCGCCTTTTCACAGCTGTGCCATTTCAAGGCAGCACGTGTGCTTCATCACTGACTCTTGCATCATAAATAAGTCCTGAGGTGGATGCTCCTGTCTGAGAGTCCTATCTGCTGTCATCAGCTGCTGTAGGGCCGATCTGCTGAGAGTTAACACACCAGATGTCTGGTACAGCCACGTACACTTTTGAGCTTCATTTGGATACAATTAATCCTTCTCCTTCAATGATTTCAGTGGAACAACAAAAAAGATGGAACAAAGGGGATGAGGCATGGAAAATCAGTGCAAGAATTTTGAAATAGAGAATATATTATTATTTCACTAAAATAGTAACTTCTTCTTAACTGTTGGAATAATTTGTATTTTACTAAAAGTCTTCTGTCAGAAATACTTTCAATACTCTATAAATAACTTTTCATTTAAGAAGGTATTTGATAATAAATCCTTCCAGAGGGAACAGGATAACTTCAAAAGTATACACACCAAGACTGGTGTCTGGTCACTGATGGCTTTTTAAATTAAGAAGATGGTATAGATTTTTGCAGATTACTTTCCATGAAATTATCTTTAAATTAGAAAACCTAAAGTACAATAAAAATTTACTGTACAAATATTGAAAGTTTAAAGTTTTGATTTTTAAGTCATTATATAACAGTGATAAAATAATTAACTATATTTGCTTTGACATTTTTTGTGTGTACAGATTTTTTTAAAGCCTTAGTAATTCTTTGAATATAAATGGTGCTTTTCCTATACACTTACAACTGTTCTCTGAATATTTGGATATTTAAAAAAATACATTTTTTTCTAAGGCAGATAATTGTCAAGTTTTATTTCTAAACTCAGGAGAAAGCTGAAGTACCAAAAAATAAGCTGATCCTTTTTATAATTTGATAATATAGACATATTAGTTCTATTTACTTTCTAAATAAAAATATTAATAAACAGGTAGAAGTTGAGTACTTTAAAGTTGCCAGCATAGGTTAAAATGTAGAACTGAGTTTCAAACCTATAATTTATGTTATTTTTTTCCAAGCATGAGAAGACAATTTTGTTATCAAAATGAAATTTATAAAGATATATATGTAGAGAGCGAGAATATAAAAAGCTTCAAGCTCAATTTAAAATATATATGGAAGACTTTCTAACAGATATCTTAATAGTGTTTCCGGAAAAGCAAATCAGTTATATTATAACCAGGTTGGATGGTGTTACTAGTCAGGGTTCTTCTGCAAAACAGAACCAGTGTGTGTGTCTGTGTGTGTATTATACAAATATATTTTTTATCTTTGTACAAATATATTTTATATATTTTTACACGTACATATATTTATACAAAGATATTTATTTTAGCAAATTAACTAATGCATTTATGGGGGCTGGTAAGTCCAAAATGTGTATGTCAGGCCAGTAGGCTAGAAATTCTCAGGCAAGAGCTGATGTTGCAATCTTCAGGTAGAATTTCTTCTACTTTAAGGAAACCTCAGTCTTACTCTTTTTTTTTTTTTTTGAGACGGAGTTTCGCTCTTGTTACCCAGGCTGGAGTGCAATGGTGCAATCTTGGCTCACCACAACCTCCGCCTCCTGGGATCAGGCAATTCTCCTGCCTCAGCCTCCTGAGTAGCTGGGATTACAGGCACGCGCCACTGTG